AAAAAAAATAACCATACCCAGAAGGAACCCATTTAAGAAAATAAGAAATCCATAAACAAACAAAGACCAGCAAAATCGAAAAGAAATATAAAAAAGGAGTTAAAGAGTTAAAATCATAATAATTCATACATAGATAAAAGAGATTTGATTCCATATCTGGTATCCAGTTTCAGATGAAATTGACGACACGTTGAGAATCTATGATGAAATTGGAGAAGCAGAGGACTAGATCTCTTCGATCCAGTTTCAGAATTAGAATAACAGGACTAGAATGGAGGAGAAAAGTAGAAAAGAAGGGTTTTACTGGCACGTGCTATCGGGGTCGCACGTGACTTACTTGAACGTATCACAAACACATACAAACGGAATGTTGCCGCTCATCCTGGCCGTCCGCTAGTACCGCTACCATGAACTGGAAGGAATGTTGAATAAACCTAGAAATTTAACTTGACGATTCCGTACTCTGGATCATGATCATTTATTCCCTTCAATTCAACAGAAATTGTTTCCTTCCATCTAGATTGCAAATGATAGAAGAGGAATTGGAAAACAGATAAAATAAATAAGTAAATCAAACATTCTTAAAATTAGAAATTGAATACTTAATCAATCAACACCTTACCCCTCAATCACCACCAATGATATTTCAAGAAAGGTTGAAGTAGGTTCTTATGATCCCACTCCACTGATTCCCACCATTCTTTTGACTCTTCATCTATCTCGATTTCTTTGAGATGAGATGGTTGGCCATTATCAAGCAGGGGAAACTGCACAGGGATCCTCGTTAACTCCCGACATCTCCTTATTTGAATTTTTTCAATACAATCACAAACGATAACTCCTTTGGCATTGCAGATGCTCTTCAATTGAGGTAAACCCCGCAACCACAATCTCCTTAACTTGGGAAAAGTGAATTTATCCAATGATGCATCTGAATCTGATGATGCTATTATCTCCTCCATTTGTTCGCACCTATTAACATCAATCTCCTCTAAGTTTTGGAAGGCCTGCAGCAGCTCAAGTGGAAGCAACTTCCTCATTCCTGAACAATTATAAATATGAAGCTTTTTAAGATTGGAAAAGACGTGCGGTGGTGTTGCTACTCCTTCCACTCTCACAAGTACACTCAATTTAGGCAATAACGAAAGATCCAGCTGTTCAAGCTTATCCAGTACTGGATAGGAGGATGAGTCCAAGTCAATGACGCACTCCATATCTTCACAAGACTCAATATTACAATAACTCAACTCGGTTGCCTTTTCTAACAAAGCTGCTTTATTTAAGCCGCTTCTCATGTTTCTACAGTACAATATCTTCAGCATCTGAAGGTTATCTGGAAGCACCGTACATTCTTCTCCTAAGTCACAATAATAAATACTAACCCAAGATTCCCTTTGAGTAATCGGCAATGCTCTGGGTCTTTTTACCACAAATTCCCTTGGAGTAGTCGGCAATACTCTGAGTCTTTTTACTACTTCAATACGGTACTCAGTAAGAATTTGGAAATCTTGAGAGTTGACAAAATGATTGTAGTCCTGTATGTCATCGAATACACCTTTAAAGGTCTCCAACTTCTTCAATCCCGCAACCTCTTCTCCTTTTATCTTCAATCCTTTATAAACTGACAAGTATTGGAGATTGGAAAGGTTTGATAACATTCCCATTGGAATCTTTTTTAGATTGTAACAATACCTTAAATCAAGATATTCCAGACTAATCAATTTCTCCATGCCTTGAGGGACCACCTTAATCCCAGAACCAACCAGATCCAACTTCTTTAATACCATAAGCTTTGCTAAAGGAGGCAAATACCTTAACCTCTGACACCACCTTAACCTCATGGAAGAGAGCTTCTCCAAGTTTGAGATGGAATTAGGTAAAGCTTCAATACCAGTGTTAGAAAGATCAAGAACCTTCAGTTCAGGTATACCTTCAAAGAAGGATTCTGGGATCTCTGATAAATTTTGATTATTTGACAATATCAAAGTTGAAAGAGTTGGACACTTTGGGCACAATCCAAGGGGAATTTTTGATAGGTTATTCTTCATTAGAGACACCATCTTAAGATAATTTCCCCACCCACACTCATCTGGTACATCTGTCAATTTCATGCCAGCTTTTACCATATATCCAAATTCAGGACCAATGCTTTTGATAGCCATGTCTCTCATTACATCATGCATCCTGAAAACATCAACACCACACCAATCAACAGTTTTCTCTAACAAGCACTTCTTTACTAGCATATTTAAAAAGGCATGACCCCTATCATAAGCTGCTTTTCTACTAGGCAACACATCAATTAGTCCTTCATCAATCCACCCTTCTACCAACCCTTCTATCTGAAATGGATAATCTTCAGGAAACAAGGAGCAATAAAGAAAACAGCTTTGGATTTCAAAATTATTCAAACGATCATAACTAAACCTTAACCTCTTA